TTCTCTTTGGGTTTGATGGCCTCGATTTGCTTGGTTTCAACTTGGGCTTTAAGCCTGTCCTCTTCCTTCAAATGATAGACTCCAGCTGGATGGGACCTACAGTGCTTTCAGTAGCACTCGGCCTGCTCCATGTGTAGGCTTTCTCGACTAACTCATTCAGGTACTCAATTGCTTCGTCTGATGCATGAAGGTGGTCGTGCGCGTCAGGCTCATGCAATCATTCAACTTCCTCTGTTGAACTTCCTCGTGCTTGGTCATTGTGAACAAGTTTTGAAGTGCTATTTTGAACTATGAGTGCAAAGACAGATGAGTCGGACAAGATCACTAGGGGTTTCTAGCTGGATATCGAGCGAATCTTCCTAGTTCGTCTCTATACTAATGCATAAACCTATGCGTATTTTCTTTTTTTTTTTGACAAAATTAGCTCCGTAATTAACTATGTGGCTATCATGAATATTTGTCACTAAATGGTGCTCCTAGAAAAGATTGGTGGGGCAAGTCCTCCTTAAAAACCATACTCCTTAGACAGAACAACATTTTCAGAAAAGACTAGTGGCATTAGGCTTCCTTGATCCAAACTCTTAAACAGAACTCTCCAAGAGCATACTTTTCCACATAACTACACAATTATTCTCAAAATTAATTTTGGAAGAATTTAAATTTTATTGAATGTGTTATGAAATGGAATCTAAAATTAATGAAACTATTCTTAGAGTCAAAAGTACCAAATTATGAAACCTAAATTAGGTATTCTAAATTAGTCAAACTAATCAAACCTGATCATAATTCTAAGAATTAATTAAAAGTATACAAGTAAAATAAAATAAGTAATTAAAGAAAATCAACGCTTAAGGAGACAAATTAATGATAAAAAAAGAAAATACCAAAAAGGAAATATAATAAAATCTTAATCTAAAAAAAACAAGAGTCAAATCAAGTAATTCCAAAAACTAAAAAGGGAAAGATCTAGAATTATACTATAAAAATAAGATTAGAAAATAAACCAAAAAAAAAAAAAACAACGAAGATATTTTTTTTAATAAAAGATATGGAAACCGACAACTATCAAAGAGAGAGAAATGTATGTTAAGGAAACTAAACAAACTAATAGACAAAAGTATTAAAAAAATGAAAACGGAAACGGACAACAGCTTAACTAATAAAACAAAGTTTTTTTTTTTTTTCCTCCTTATATAAACCAAATGAAGAGAATGAAAGAAACAAAAGCCAATTGCACTCCAAATTTAATAAGCTAAACTCTAAAGGAGAACTTTTGAATACACACTCACGACACAAACACAGAAATCAAGATAAAGGAAAGAAAAGGAAACAGAGGACAAAACGGAAGAAATATGATTAAATGAAAGATAAAATATGCTTACCTCTTCGGCTCAAAACCTACGGAAGAAATATAATTAAAGATCAACCAAGGGAAACGACACCAAAGATTAAAACGACAACACGTAATCAAATGACAAGAAAGCGAAACCAACGGTAAATTATGGACCGCACTAAGCACTAAATGGCAACATGGTGAAGGATGAAGAAGCAAATAAATAGCACTTGAATAATGGCAAATGAGAAAACAATTACAAACACAAGATTAAAAAAATATAAGAAATGACAAGCATATTGAATAAAGGAATAAAAACAAGAAAGGACAAAAATTTGAAAGAAGCGACAGCAGGCCAAATGAACCATGGTTTCAAGACCGGACGTTTAGGAGGTGTTTTTTTTACACCGACGTTGGGTGACTGGATCCTTTCAGAGATTTGATCTTAGCAATGGGGGGCTTCCTTTGGCAAGGGTGATACCGTCTTCGAAAGTTGGCGATGGTGAATCATTCGTTACTATTTAATGGTCTCTTTTCGGAGGCTTTGCTGCTTGACTCTCAAAGTCTTCTTCCTTCCCCCGTGGTCTTCTCGCCGACTGCGTCGTTGTTGGAGGCTTGCGGCAACAATGCTTTGGATTTTCTTTTTGCTTTGCTTTGTGCTTTGGAATGTAATAAAGGTATGGCGATGTTGTTCTCACCACGTTTTATTTGTTTTTTATTGTAATAACGGAGGTGGTTTTCCCACCTCCGGTGTTGGCTATGTCTCCCGCTCGGTTGAGTGTTTCTCCGACGGTGTGGATTATTTGGTCAAGTTAGAATATTATTTGTGTCGTGATACTGATGTCCCCTCTGAGTCGGGGTTGGTGTTTTGTCCCTCCAGTACTCGGAAGCTTATTTTGATGGGAAGAGTTTTTTTAAATAGAGCCTTAGATGTGCTTGATCTTAGTGTGCCAAAGTTATCTCTCGTTCTCGAGCCTCATGTGTACGTCCATCTCTCTATCTAGTCATTAGCCTTGTATTATGCTTTTTGTTTATCTATTTTTGTTTGAATATAAGTATTTTTTTTTTAAGAAAAAACACTGCTTCAAGACCAAAAATATGAAATGAATACAAATTGAATAAAAAAGAAAAAAATAATAAAGGAAAACCATCTGCAGAAATAATAATTGCCAGGGTATACGTAGGGGTAGCAATTCGTGTTGCCGTATCGTGTTCGTGTCGTGTTGACCCCCTCAGTTGACACGGTAAGACTTGACACAAACACGACCCAATTATTATTCATGTCAAAATACAAAACTCAAACACGATCTATATATTGGCATGTTGACACAACATGACATGACTAACTCATTTATTAAACATGTCATAATAGTGTCGTGTCCACCTGTTTTTAATAACCCGCTTATAAAATGAGTGACAATAAAGTCGTGTCAACCTATTTCTCAACTTGTTTTTTTTTTAAATATATATATATATATATATGCAAACATAGGTAGCAAACAGGTTGTAATTGTGTTGCGTATTCGTGTTACTTAAATATGACACGTTTAATAAATGAGTTACGGCAGGTCAACCTGAAAACGATACACAATTTAATCGTGTTTCATGGGTTCGACTTGATTTTGACCCAAACCTATTTATGATAATTTCGTGTAGATTTCGAGTCGTATCGTCGCATCGCTACCTGAATTGTCAACTCTAAGCATACGATAACCAAATGAGAACGATGACAAAATGATACGGCAACAAAATTTAAAACAAGAACAATAGAGAAGCGATGAGAAAAAGAACAATTATATTATTAAAAAAAGAGCAAAATGTAAAAGAAGAAAGGAATGGAACAAAAGAGTTGGAAGAAAAATACCATCAAATACTATTTCTACTATATATAAAAGAGTAGAAACATATGCTTACTGTGTGTTTGGGTAGTCCAAAACGCACCGTTTGAATTATCAAAAGTGTTTTTTTTTTTTTTTTATTTCTTTTTTTCTTTTTTTTTTTTTTTTCTTACTTCTTTCCTTTCTTTCTTTTCTTCTCTTTTACTAATTTTTTTAACCTTTTTTCTTTTTTTGCTTGCATTACTTTTTTTTTTCTTTTTTTTTCTCCATCTGCTATAGTTTGTTAGCCTAAACACTTAAATATTTATTTCTTTTTAACTTCATCATTTTTTACTTTCTACTTTTTTTTCCTTTTTCACTTCTTTATTTTTTCTTCTATTTCCTTTTGGCTTCATTATTTATTTAGTATAGTCTCTTACCTCCAATACTCTCTTATCGTTTTTATTCCTCTTTCATTTCTCTACATTTGAACTTTATCACTCTCTTATATATTTCTAAAACATCCATTCTCAACAATCCTCACTGAATTAATCTCTTTACTTATGATCATGACTTCAATCATAATTAGTTGTGTATCGAATTATTTTATCGTTTCACTATTTATTACTTCCATGAGTATTAAGTTTTTTGTGTTTGTGGGTATGTGTCTCTATGCTTTTAAATTTCTTTGAACCGAAAAACTAAATCAAAAATTTTATTTGGTTAATGAAATATACAGTTTTAACTGCGTAGTTAATAACTATCTATTTTCAGAATGAAACTAACAGAATAATGATATATAATAGTTTTAAAATGATAAAGTAATAAAAAAACAAGTTTTGAAAAAAGAAAAGAATATGAAACGAAAAGTTAAAATTTGTAACCAGGCTAATTTTTTTTTCCTTTTTATAGATCTATTTGATTTTTTAATATTTAATCCCTTACAAACTATAACCCACTATACTTTATTTCTGCTACATTGATTTAAAAATAATGAACTTATTATTAAAGACTATGTGTAAATAACCTTTTTTTTGTTAAATTTTTAAGTAAATTTTTTCTTATATTCATTATACATGTTATTAAAACATCAATTACAATTTAATACGTGCAAATAACCCGTAAGGCATACTATTCACCCTTCATCGTTTAATATGCACCGTTTAATATTTTTCCCCTCATTTTTTTCTTACTTTCATTTTTCGCTCATTTTTTAAATCTTTTTCATTTCTTTCTAATTCCATTCTTTACCTTTATTTTATTTCTATCTATTTTAACTTTCTTCTTTCATTCTTTTTTAACTTCATTTATCTACGAATATCTCGTACGATCGAGTTTTACCTTTCTTTCTTTCTGCTTTTTTTTTTTTTTTTTGGCACCACTTGTCTATGAGAGTCACTTGTACTAATATTCTCTTAATTTTTCTTTTTTTGTTCATCTTTTACTTTCCTTCTCTCTTAGATTTCCTAAACCTCAAATCTAAACTTTCTCAACAGAATAATCTCCTTGCTTTTTTTTATTATCTTATAATTTAGAATGTTTCATCAATTTAATCATATAAGATTTTCACTTAGACTATTATTTTTGTATACACTTTTTAAATTTCTTAGTAAGTTTTTTTTATATTTTCGCTATTAAAATTTTAATTACAACTTAATATGTGCATTAAGCTAAATTAGTATTGAAAAAGAGAATACAATACACAATAAACGACAACAAAGTTGAAGGGACATAAAGTGAAGGCCAATGAAAGTTACACAAACCATATCATTTCATTGACTTAAGACCGCAATGTTCTAAGAATATAACTATCCTTATTGGGAAAAAGAGAAATCCAATTGCACTGGGGAAGTTTATAGATTCAAATGTTGATCTCTCTTTCTCTATGGAGCGAAGCTGTAGATTCTCTCATCACATTTTGGCTCTCTTTCTTGGAACTATAATCATCAAGGTAGTTCTGATAAATATATGAAATGAAGCCCCAAATAGCCAAGAACATTGCCATAACCTTTATCCCGCTCATCTTCTCATGGAAGAAAAACACTGCAAAGATCGGGACAATAGGCAAACCCAAAGCGCTCATGACGTTGGAGAAGAGTGAAGACACCTCAAGAATCAAGCCCACAGCTCCAATGCCATAAAGCTGCCATGTCACGGCTGTCCATGCTAGTGTCATGACATACGACACCTTCCCAAGCCCGAACAAGTTCATCTCCTCATCCAAACCCTTCCACTCCCCGCTTGCGAAAAGCCCTACAAGAATTGCCAAGCTAGCAACAAGTGATTCGCCCACTATGACATCCGTGATCACTGAAAAACACTCCCTCTTCAGGACTCTATTAAAGAATAATTGTGTCAACGAGAGCACCAATCCAAACGCTGCTGATGCACCGACGGTGCAAATGAAACCGATCACATACTTTGCTCTCGAGATATTGGGAGTATCCTCGGCTCTCGATTGATATACGAGGACCAGGGAATTTATGATGTAAAAAGTGAACTTTTGAGAGTTGAGAAAGAAGGAGAAGAAAGCATTGAAGGCTAATTGAGATGCACATATAAGTGAGTAAGTGGACACAGGAAGGTACATTATCCCCATAGAGTACAAATAGCATTCTGCAGCTATAATTAGGCCAAGAACAGTATAAATTGATGCAAGGATTAAAGTAGAAGGTGGTTTTGTACTCATCATATTAGTGCTACCTTCAGAAATTATATTAGCGTTACTTTCTGATATAGCATTTTTATTCTTTTTTGCTGAGAACAAATAGTAGGGAAGCAGGACTGGAAAGCCCACAAGCTGAACGAGTGTTCCCATCCATTTGCTATTTCCGCCTTTTTCATAATACAATCTCCCCAACAGCGTTGCTACTGACTGACCGGCAAGAACAAACACCGCGTAGATACCGATTCGAATCCACCTGATAAGTTTTCTTCTTGGCTGAGGAATACTTGACTGGTTGGTTGAACCATTTGTATGGCCATGACGGTTTTCTTCATTAGCTTCCCGAGCTGGTGAAAAGATTTAAATCTTAGGACTTTTGGTAAAACATGGGAAAAAAAAAAAAAAAAGAGTTTGCTTCTATATAGTACAGATTCTTAAAAATGACTTCTTAGAAAGGTTATTAATTTGACTTTTGGTACCATCTATACGTGTAGAAAACAGTAATTTTGTAACAATTTTTGTTCTACCATAGAGAAAAGATTACTTTCAGATTTTGTTTTCTTCTCATAGAATTGGTTCATAAGAGGACTTGGAGAAATCAGTGAAGTGATGCTATATTGTAACTATCATGAGTATACTATTATTGACTGATACTTTTTAATGATATTTATTACAAATGAGCTGGAAAAAGTAACATGGAGAGACTTAAAATTAGACAAAAATAAATTCTAACTTCCCCAGTTCATATTCCTTTCACATTAATTACTTGCCTTTGAAGTTGGTAAGTGAATAAAAGAAGATGGAAAACAGAGGTCAAAACCCAATTGACAAAATGAACAAACCGACTTACCAGTAACGCTGAGTTGCAGTTCTTGAAGTTGAGCTTCACCCATGTCAAGTGATGAAGAGTGAGAATAAGATAAGACGCCGCTCATATTCATTTTCTATGGCTTAAAACACCTCTATTAGTATAATATGGGCCTATTAAGATACTGTTCATTTCACCAATTCGAGTTTAGAATTTTATTTTTACTAAAGTAAAAAACTCTCAGAAACAGTTACATCTAACCTTTTTGTTACTGTAAAAAGTTTTCACCTAAAATCACATCTCAACTCAAATTAAAAATTTGAATCAGCGAACTAAACGGGTCCTAAATCTCATTACTTTTCTTAATAAAAGAAAAAAATCTTCGTTACAGTTAAAAAAAAGAAAGAAAAAAAATTGTTGTTTTAACCGTCAAATTGATGTCAAATTTTATTAATTTAATTAGAGTGTGTTTATTTACACAATTCAAATCATGACTTAAATTGTGTATGTAAAAAAATATTAATAAAAATATTAAATTTAAATTTACGTAAAAAAATACCATAATAATATTACTTAAGTCATAAAATGAACATAGCGTTATCAAACACTTTTAAATTTTGTCTACCACTAAAATTTATTTTCATTCTTTATTGCAAAATCTTTAAAAAAGAAAAATCTCACTGATGGAGGAACAGAAAATCTGATGGGACTAATAGAAATGATTCCCCTGTTTTTAAGAAAGTATAGGACTTGAATCTTCAGTTAAAAATCAGTTGTCTCAAACCATGTCCTACCAATACTTTTGGGACATGTCATCGAGAAATTTAAGAGACGTTTAATAAAAAGATTCATATTATAATTTAAATTATAATTTATAATTTATTATATTATTTTTTTTATAAAAAATATACATAAATTAAAAATAATTTTAATCTCATAATTTTAATTTATAAATTAAATCTTTCCTAAAGAGTTGCGCTTATGGCTGACGTTTGGAGAAATTAAAAGTGATTTTTTTTTTTTTTTTGGAGATCGTTGGAGTTTCAGGCTCAAGGAAGATGAGATGTGGTCTATTAGTCTAGGTTGCAGAAGGTCCAGGTTCAATGAATCTACTTGTCATTACCACACAGATGATGGTCGTTTTTCTCCTTTGTATGACTTGCGGTGAAATAATTAGTTTCAAATTAAAAAAAAAAAGTTCAATCAGATTAACAAAAGACATTCTGGATAAGAAAAGAGAAAACAAAGAAAGGATGAGAAAATTATCAAAAAAAGAAAGGAAGAGAAAAGAAACAATAAAAATGGAAAGAGAAAACAAAAAAAATAAAGCAGAGGAAGGTTGGAGTTAGCGTTGGGGTAGACGGAAATGTGAAGCGCAAGTCTTTAAAGTTTTCGGATGACGTGTATTAAAATTACTGGTTGGACGTAGTTTGGGACAGCCAATTTTGGACAGAAGATCAAGTCCACAAGTACGCAACTTCTTTTTTTTTTGTTTTTTTTTTAGGTCTTTGTCGTAATGCCGTAATGCCAAAATTACGGAGATATTTACGTTTCCTACCACAAAAAATACTTGACATGATATGCCAGAGGAAAAATCACAAAATTTTTTGCCACCTGGTAGGTCAAATGTTAGATTAAGAGACGTTTAATTTATAAATTTAAAATTATTATTCTTATTTTATGTGTATTTTTTATGAGAAAAAAATATTATAAAAAATTATAAATTATGATTTAAAATTATAAATAAATAAAAAAAACAAATGTCTCTTACAAAACTGAATGCCCTCAAACTAAACTTAAGGCGTGTTCACCACTAAAACAAGCAATATTAGTCAATGGCTTCTTAAAATAGTAGACTATGGATAAAAAAATAATATGAAAAATTATAAAAAGTAATTTAGCAGATTCCTCACTAGCATTCACCACGTTCTCCTTCAGTGAACTGTGCTCACAACCAGAAAAATTCTCTTCGGAGTCGACTAAATTCATCTCAAATACTTTTTTGACTATATATGTCAATAAATAATATTTAATATCTTATTCTAAAATGTTTTTAGGAAACATTTTATCTACAATTTTTCTAAATAAATTTCTTCATGTGTACTACTAAATAATTTTTTAATTAATTCGCCCCATTAAGAATTTTTCTCCCTTTTAATGTTGCTCTATTGATATTTTTCTACTGGATTTAATCATTAAGAAAATAATAAAAAAAACATAAACTATAAATTTTTTTAAAAAAAAGGACTTCCATATCAAAAAAAAAAATTTGAGTACGCACGCATGGAGCGCGTGTTTACAACTAGTTTTATTAAAATATGTTGTAATCGTAATTTTCAGATTCGTATTTTCAACATTCATTATTATATTGATAAATTGATTCATTTCTCCTCATTAAAGAAGATTAAACTAGAATAATACATGTTTTTTTTTTAAAAAGGCAATAGCATAACTTCATTCAAAATTCATTAAAGGGCTAAGATATAAGACAAAACTAGAGTCAAGAACCGGGAATTACTCACATGATTAAACAATACAAACGCACCTATTGCCCAATAACAGAGAAAACTCCTCCAACTAGTGGCACTATAACAATGTTCGACCACTTTAAAACGACTCTAGATGAACCACATCTCACTCCAGCAGATAGGGACACCATCTTTATTACAACACAAATAAAACATAAAACATAAAAACAAGAAAAACTCTATAAAGATCTCAAGAAATCAAGCCCCTCAAAGTCGGAGGTATGTGAAACACAGTAGGAGTGGCACCAGAGAAAAACTCCTAAAACAGCGACAAAAACACTGGAGACATGGCAATGCGTAGAACCCACGTGCCGTCGCCAATGAGCGGCGACTGCCACACGCTCTGGACCACCTTCCTTGTCTCCCTTCCAAGATCTAATTCCCGGAGTTTCAATGGAATCTCACGGCGAACGCGTCCTACATCTAAGGTAGAAGATCAGAAATTACTTCCCTTTGAACAACTCTATTTTGGTGACTATACATATTTTTGTTTGTACGAACCAGACGCCGGTGACCTCTGCAATCTTTTCGATAAACTTTAGAGGCCGGCAGCTCGACGAATAGCCAAACCACCGATCCCAAAAAACTCCTCCTCTAAGCTTGTTACAAAGTGCCTCTCTCTAGCTTTCTCTCTATAGAACTCTCTAGGGTTTTTTTAATAACATTTTTTTTTTCATTCAAAAGAACATATCACAGAAAAACAAAACAAAATTAAAAAGAAAAAAAAAAGTTACAAACGACAAAATGTGCATAAGATCAAATCTGAAAGAGAAATGGATGGGGGTAGCTCATGGGGGTTGGACTTGTAAGGCAGGGCGGCACTCAGGCACGGCAGCGGAGGCTGGAAGCACGGCGGGGTGACGCAAGGCGAAACCCAACAACTGGTGAATTAGAGAGTGATGGGAGAAGACAATAAAGTCAGCGAGGAGATAACGTGAATATTTTTGGGTATTTGAATAAATGTTTAAGGATATTTTTGGTATTATGAAAAATTCATTAAACCCCAAAATCCGATTTAACCGTGAATCCAAAAGTAGAAGCTTCCGTTGTTTCTGCTTTTAGTTGTAGCTTTAGAGAAAATTGTTATAGAATTGTTCGTTTTCCCACTTTGACCAAACACACATTTGACTTAAAATTGTTCCGGAATGGATTTTGGTTGCCATCTATTTGTTGTTTTCGCCTTTGTCATAATACAATCTTGCAAATGTCGCTACTGAGTCGTTGCAGAGGACAAATACTGTGTAGATAGGCACCCTTTTCGGTCTCTGGATTGGCAATGATTGGTCGGAAACATTTACTTCGCAGCTTCTCAACTGGTAAGAAAGAAGATAGAAATATACAACCATCAACACTAGTTGGTAAAGAAAAAAAAAAAAAGAAATGGCTTTTTCAGTGCAGATTGTAGGCCTTAGTTCTGCATGGTGCATAAAAACTCATGTTTTGTAAAAGAATGCTATTAGATGTCTGTTTGGTTCATAAATTTCACGTGATATCAGAGTCATATTTATTAGAGAGATTATAATACGTCTTTCAATTTAGATCATACATTTTTTAAACTGTTTATAACACATTTGAAGACAATTTTGGACAGCAAAACTGCTGCAGCGTGTACGGAATGCGCTGCAGCATGTACGGAATACGCTGCAACAGGTTAGACAGCACCAAACAGGTGCAATCTGTGCACATCATGCACATCATTATTGAGCTACTAGAAGAAAAATCTCATTGAATCATTTGTCATGCACATCATGAAGTATGCATATTGTCCTTAATTTTTTAAATATTTTTATTTAAGAGTAGATTGGTAGTAAACCGAGTTATGCACATTTTAAAGAAGCTAATTTATAGTGAAATTCTCCTCTCTCTCGAGAAAGTTTTGAGTTGTCAAAGCCTATAATATTTAAGGCTAACTACTCTAATTTCGTGTGTTATTTATTTTTATTCTTCTGTTTTCATCTTGTTAATTACTGTAAACATGTGAGTTGATACGTGGTGAGATGATTGTGAGAGTTTATTTGTTGACGATGGAATCTGATCGTCAATTAAATTTAGTTAAATTTGTGTACTTTTTTATTGTAAGACAACTTAAAATTGTGTCTACCACTAAAATTTATTTTTATACTGTATGATAAAACCTTTTAGAGACCTCCAATAGATTGACATACTGGTAGGGTCAATTTTTTTATCATTAAATCTAATTAAAATTATATTAAATTAAAAAATTTTACATAACAGATAATTTCTTATACATATTTAACAGTTGAAAAAAGAAACTATCAATAATTTATTTTTTTTAATCTTATCAAAACAAAATCTCTTTCTTTTTATCAAAAAAAAAATCTCACTGACTGGAGTATAGAGATTTGATGGGTGGGGCCAATGTAAATGATTAACTCGTTTGAAAATAGGATTAAGTACTATGAAATGGTTTCTTACTTTTTGGATTTTAATGCATAAATTAACTACTACCATTACGAATTATAAATATGTGTGTGTGTGGATGTATAATAATACCTACTACCACTGACAAAGCATTTAAGCCCCATATATATATATAT